GGAATGACCAAATGGGAAGAGGAGAAACAGGGAAGAGAATTCTGGGAAGTTTTAGAGTGTTCTAGGATGAAGTGATCAGAGTGTTGAGGCCTCAAGTAAATCAAGGTAGATATTAAAATAGACATCCAAGGGCCAGCATGTGGCTCACTCGGGAGAGTGCGGTGCTGATAACACCAAGGCCATGGGTTCGGATCCTATATAGGGATGGCTGGTTAACTCACTTGGGAGAGCGTGGTGCTGACAACACCAAATCAAGGGTTAAGATCCCCTCACTGGTCATCTTTTAAAAAAAAATATAAATAAATAAAAATAAAAAAATAAAATAAAATAGACATCCATAGGATACAGCAACTAAGAGGTCATCTGAGAACACAGTATAAACACTTTCAGTGGAGTGTGCTTGTGGGGACAGAAGAGGGAGGGAGGCAGAAGGCCAACCACTGTGCACTTAAAATGAATGGGAAGTAAAGAGGCTTAAAAGAATTTGAGTTCATACTACAAGCTTATTTTAAAAGAAGGGTGAGGTAACTATATGGAGATCCAGAGGCTAAGGGAGCTTTTGATTTTCAATTTTAGTATTTGTTTTTGAAGGTGGGAGAGAAGTGAAGATGTTTAAGTGCTGAGGGGAAGGAGGAAGCTGAGAAGGCAAGGCTGCAGATCAGAAAAGAGAAGGGACGAGCCTGTTGATGAATGAAGGTCATCTAGGCTTGAAGGTGATGGGAGGCTTAACCACTGCCACAGACAGACTTGAAAAATGACACCTTTCCGTGGATGAAAACGAACCTAGATACTTAAAAGCACTGTCACTGGAGTCTGGCTGCATGGGTTACAGACTTTCTGTGCAAAAATTCACTTTTGGCAGGAAAAAGAGTCTCCTTCATTGTGCCCCAATAAAAACTCTAACTAAAGAAGTTTTTGAAGTAGGCAATTATGTCTTTATAAAAAGCACATGACTGTAAAGTTTCTTCACCTCCCAAACAGCAGTACCAAATTTAGACATTATGGAATTTTAGAATCCTTTTTATCTTTTGAAAATGATATTAGAATGGAAGTGCTTTTTTAACTGTCCCTTTATGGCTCAAAAGCAATTACCTGAGAGGGAAATTGCTAGCACTTAATAATCCTTAGCAGGCTCCAGACACTTAATTGTTCCCCACAGAACCCCTGAAATGTAAAAGCGTATGAGTTGCTAACATTCCTAGTGTGCGGAGGACTGTTAGACCAACGTAGACGGGCAACCAATGTCAATGCTGTGAGTAGGATTTAGCCACATGTAACACCCAAATTGTGCCTAAACAGTGTGTGCATGTGCATGTATCGAGTACTTTTTTTTTTTTTTGGCTAATAGAGAGGCCAGGCCCTATATTGCAAAGAGCAAGAACTTTACAGATTGTATTCAATTTTATTTCAACTCATTGTCTGAGTGGCCTTGTTTCTACAATGGGACAATAACACCAGTTCTCATAGTGTTGTTCAGGAAATGAAGGGAGAACCCAGGAGTTGGCCCATGGTGGGGAGCACAGGGTGTCTCTTTCCTGTCCCCTTCTCCATCCCCATCACACATATATAATTATCATTGGTAGTTTGGGGTGGCAGGAGATAATGTGCTCAGAAGACAGTTTGCTTTCTCCAGATTACAATCTCTATAGACGTCCAGGGACATGCATACAGTGGTTAGGAATGAAGTAATTGCTGATGCTGCCTGGATGACTTTTGAGCTTCAAGACACCTGGATATTCACCTAATTTAAATCCCTCATGTTTTAGATAATTGTACTCATAAGTAGTGACAAAGCCAGGATTTTTGAATTTTTCTCCTACTCATGGTCTAGACAAACATCCTTATTTTTACCCTTTTCTAAAGGTTTTATTCTGTAACACTGATATTGGTACCTGGGAAAATTATAAAGTCACCTAAAACTGTGATAGACTAAATTACTCTAGTTCTAAAATTTTAGGTAGTAAAATCTATTTTTTTAAGTCCTAATTCTTTTTGAGGTTTTCAGTATGTGGAAGACCTTATATGCATGCTCTCACTTAAGCCACACAACAATCTAATGATGTAAGGACCATTATCACCACTTTACAGATAAGGAAACTGAGGCTTAGATGTATTAAATACCTTGGCTAAGATCACATTGCTGGAAAGCAGTAGAGTTGGGACCCCAAAGCCAAAGCTCTGGCTCCCTAGTAGGGTCAGACAAAAGAGCTCAAGCCAGACAATATTTAACATTTCCTTTTGGTCTTAGAACAGTTCTTTCTGGGCCGGCCCGTGGCTCACTCGGTAGAGTGCGGTGCTGATAACACCAAGGCCGCG